GATGAGCTGCCGATTGTCATAAAATTGCCATAAAATACAACTTTTATATTTATCGTTGTTGAGAGCCGTTTCGAAAAATTGTTGAAAACTGTGAAATTTTAGAATATTTTGTTGAATCGTTGTACTTCAGAGTGAAAATGTGGCAGCTCGCAGTCAGGTTCTTGAATTATCGGGCCGATTATTCAGTGATCCGGAGTGCCGCCTCTATGAGAATGAGCCAAATTTGTGGACTGAGTATCTGAAGCGATATTGCGATATAAATCCGGACATTCGTTGTGCCTGTATCAAACAGGCCGAAAGCATTCTTGTCGTTCAGCCAGCACTCAGAGGACAAGTGACTGGTAAAGCTTTTAACATTATTACTTTGACATTTAACACTGAACTTTTAACATCCAAATCGAGATAGTGCTACATCAAAATTGCCGATACGATCATGCGTTTTTGCGTAATTTCGCTCTAAACAGAGATTGCTTGTAATACTGGGATGTGACTGCGATATTATATTTTGAACGTTTGATGGATCCGTGCTAGTTAGAAGCCTGCCCTACACGTAGGAGCCCACATATGAACAACAATCATTCTCAGAAAAATATTGCTTCCTGCTTACTCGTTACCTAGTTAATTAGTTGCCAGTATTGTCCCAAGTTTAATATTCACTTATACACATGCAGTACTTAGACGTACTTTAAAATGAATTTTTGAAATATTTAGGCTGCATACTGGTCATAGTATGATTGGTTGACGAAGTGGTGGCACCAGGCACCTTAGCTCTGTGAAGAAAGGGCAGATTACATGTCTTGACACAGTGTCATGTTTTGTTCGGTTAAGCTTGAGCTGCATTTTGGGCACTGTTAGCACTGTTACCTTGTGTTATTGCAGTGGGAAACAAGCAGCTGCGCATGAAATGCAAGATGTATGCGACGGAGCATGGGGGGCAACGTGGAGCGAAGTTAGTTAAAAAGTTAAGGCCCGTGAGTCGAAGTTAAAAAAAAAGTAAAATGGCCTGGAAAGTAAAATCTGATGGGGTAGGCATGTTGCTTGGCTTGCTGACAGTTGTTGAACGTTGCATATTAGTGAGTAGTACTCGCAAAGAAATAAGCGGGAATTGATCCTCGAAAGGCCGACATGCGTAAATCGAAGGAGGTGTGCAGCTGTTCGGTACTGAAGACAGTTAATTCGGCGTGCACAAGCATCCTGTAATACTACTTAATCATGGACCGTTATTGTATTTGCTGTAGTAAAAGATTCAAAAAAATAATAATCGAAAAGTGTGGAAGCATTGCAGATGCTTTAATTGCACGTTGTAAGGATTCGCATCAAGATGTCCGTCTGGAAGTTATAAGGATGGTGCAGCGATTAGCGCGGCGCAAATTAGAAGCTTTAAGTGAACGACTTCTCAGTCAAGTCATTGACAGATTACGTGATAAAAAGGTAATTTTTTTTTTTGAAATAATGGTTAATATTTTCAAATTTTGAATCAACGATAAGCAGTAGTTGTTTCGGCTCACAATTAAGCATTTTGACACCTAAA